TAGAGATGGAAAAAAAAAAAATTTCCCAGGCTGGAAAAAAAAAAAAAGGCTCAAGCAATAAAAAAAAAAAAGCCTCCCAAAGTGAAAAAAAAAAAAGCGTGAGCCACCAAAAAAAAAAAAAAAACTTCGGATGGAAAAAAAAAAAACTCAGGGTCCAGGAAAAAAAAAAAAAATATGAGGACATAAAAAAAAAAAATCTGTAAGGCCCTAAAAAAAAAAAAACTCTGTGATATGAAAAAAAAAAAATGTGGGGTTCATGAAAAAAAAAAAAATATGAGCAAAGGAAAAAAAAAAAATTCTCAGTCAACAAAAAAAAAAAAAAATCACCAGAACGAAAAAAAAAAAAAGATGGGGCTTTCAAAAAAAAAAAACAATGCTTTAGGGAAAAAAAAAAAACATACCTACTGCAAAAAAAAAAAAATTGGGCTTTAAATAAAAAAAAAAAATGTTCACAAAACAAAAAAAAAAAAAAGTAAAGAGAAAAAAAAAAAAAAAAAACTGAACCTTATAAAAAAAAAAAATAACTCTTGTTTTAAAAAAAAAAAAACTAGTAATGCTGAAAAAAAAAAAAGTATTCAGTTACAAAAAAAAAAAAACAATTAATGATGTAAAAAAAAAAAATGCTTATGTAGCAAAAAAAAAAAAAATGTTTTCTATTGAAAAAAAAAAAAGGTAAAGTTTTTAAAAAAAAAAAAATACAGAGGTATGTAAAAAAAAAAAATGGAAAATAAAGTAAAAAAAAAAAAAATAATTTACCCCAAAAAAAAAAAAATAGGAGTCAGATAAAAAAAAAAAAATGACAGTTGTCTAAAAAAAAAAAAGTTCTTCCTCAGCAAAAAAAAAAAACTAGTTAACAGGGAAAAAAAAAAAATAGAAAAGTCATTAAAAAAAAAAAAAGTCCTATGGCAAAAAAAAAAAAAAAACAAGAAAAAAAAAAAAAAAAAAACTACTTTTAACAAAAAAAAAAAAAAGCTAGGACTCGGCAAAAAAAAAAAATTCTTTAAAACAAAAAAAAAAAAAATTTGTTTTTTTTTAAAAAAAAAAAATCTCGCTGTGTCGAAAAAAAAAAAATGCAATGGTGCTAAAAAAAAAAAAAGCAACCTCCACCTAAAAAAAAAAAATGATTCTCCTTCCAAAAAAAAAAAAGGTGGGATTATAGAAAAAAAAAAAAACGCCCAGCTAATAAAAAAAAAAAAAGTAGAGATAGGGAAAAAAAAAAAAGGCCAGGCTGGTCAAAAAAAAAAAACCTCAGGTGATCTAAAAAAAAAAAACTCCCAAACAGCTAAAAAAAAAAAAATGAGCCACCTGCAAAAAAAAAAAAATAAGCATTTTTTAAAAAAAAAAAATTTCAGCCAGGTGAAAAAAAAAAAATCTGTAATCTCAAAAAAAAAAAAAAAGGGTGGGCAGATAAAAAAAAAAAAGGAGTTCGAGACCAAAAAAAAAAAACATGGCGAAACCCAAAAAAAAAAAAAATTTAAAAAAAAAAAAAAAAAAAAGGTGGTGTGTGCCAAAAAAAAAAAAATTTGGAAGGCTTAAAAAAAAAAAACACTTGAGCCTGGAAAAAAAAAAAAGCAGTAAGCCAAGAAAAAAAAAAAACACTCCAGCTTGGAAAAAAAAAAAAGACCCTGTTCCACAAAAAAAAAAAAAAATTATGTATTTAAAAAAAAAAAATTTTTTCTCCTTTAAAAAAAAAAAAACGTACAGAATAGAAAAAAAAAAAATCTAGGTAACATGAAAAAAAAAAAAATGGGAAAAACAGAAAAAAAAAAAATTAACTTTTACTTAAAAAAAAAAAATCCCACAAATGTTAAAAAAAAAAAAAACTTTCCTACAAAAAAAAAAAAAATTCTCTTCCTCCCAAAAAAAAAAAATGTTTTGGATGACAAAAAAAAAAAAATGGATTAGTATGAAAAAAAAAAAATCCGTTCTGGGAGAAAAAAAAAAAAGATTGACTTTCATAAAAAAAAAAAAACATTTTCTTTCCAAAAAAAAAAAACTTGTTCTGATCTAAAAAAAAAAAACTAAAAATAAAGTAAAAAAAAAAAACTTCCTCGGTGACAAAAAAAAAAAACTGAACCGGTTCCAAAAAAAAAAAATCCCACCCTGTATAAAAAAAAAAAAGACTTCTTACTCAAAAAAAAAAAAAT